TGTTGGAATCCATCCTTAAATCACACCGAACAGACTGAGTGTCACGTCTTTTAATAAGTATGTAGTACATAAATTATCGAAGTGCGATGGAACCCATAGTCACTGTACTTAAACCGTAATCTCGTTTGTCGTGTCATTCGTTTGTCGTGTCATTCGTTAAACTTTGTCGTGATTAGTATACATTTAATAGAGTTAAAGCAAAAATTATCGAAGTGCAACGGAATCCATACTAAATTATTAGTACTTAAACCATCCGTGTGCTTGCCGTAAATGTCCCACTTCGATTGAGTTTCAATAAATTAAGGGAAGTCACAATGTCATCTAAAAGAGGTCCGACTCAATGCTGACTCAAAATTGAGCAAGGTGTAAAGAAATGGAGAGTTCAACAATTCATGTTGTAACCGTAACAGCTTTTAAGTTACAAATTGATGGAAGTTCAATTGGAATCCACACTTAATCCATCATGATCAGTAAGTGATTGCCTTGAATCTCCAGTTTAGATTCAATTTATAGCTTCTCAATTGCATTCTTCGGGTCCCTAAGTTCCATTCAGGTCCAAAATATAGCGATTTTAACATGAAATTAATAGCGTGCGAGTACCAATTTAAAATATAATGTCCTATTTTAACGAATAACATGTTATTTATGTTTGACTTTCCCAGACTAGGTCCGAATAAACTAAAGGAATGTATGCGCAAGCTTCAATCTTCTTCTTTCCTTTACTTGTTTGAAGTCAGACAGAGAGGGACGAACTGGGGGAAGGTGGGAGAAAGGTAGTTTTGCTTGCCCTAATTGAGTCTCCTTTGTTTATTTTTATTTTCTCTGCAGCCAAGCAATGTGGTTTCGGTTAGGCTTGACTGCCGTATTGTTCGCGTTTCTGACATTCAGACAATGTGGCTTCAGTCAGGTCTGATTGTCACACCCCTGTAAGTTGTTATCTAAGCAGCCAGACGATGTGGCTTTGGTCAGGCCTGGTTGCTGTGGTTATGTTGATTTGCTTGCTGAAAAGGTTTAAAAGTTGGATAATGTGGCTTCGGTTAGATCTAACTACTTGTTTTTTATGAGCGAGGTTTCGACGGAGGACTAAGCAATGTGGCTTCGGTTTGGCTTAGTCTGAAGTCACTCACATAAGGAGAAACCTGAAAATGTGATTTTATATATATATACGTAATATATTTTTGTTATTGAACAGGCTAGTCAAACAATGTGGTTTCGGTTTGGTCTGACTAGAGCTTATTACAAAAAGGAGAAGATAATATTTAATTAAGAATACAACAAATGTATTTTAAGGTAGACTGAGCAATGTGGCTACGGTTTGACTCAGTTTTAGTATTCAAAAGATATAAGGTGTTCAAAGAGTTATTATAAATCTAGATATTAAACATTTGGTAGGGCTAGACCATGTGGCTTCGGTTTGGTCTAGCTAACTGCCCAAAGAAGAGAGAAGTAGTAGTGTCCTCTGTTTTGTGTATACAAAGATAAAGGTTAAGCAATGTGACTTCGGTTTGGCTTAACCTTTTTATGCCATATGTAAGCTGGGGTATTAGGGTTTTATTCAACTGAGTGATAATGAACTACTTGTGTGAAATCAACTTGGGAAACTGGTGAGAGTACTTACTCATTGTAGTATGAACTTGCATGCGGTTGAGTGTGAGCTCTACTTGTTCTAAG